TACCAATAAAGTATCTAAATTTAAAACTTAGTCGCCCTGTGTCTAGGGTGGGGAGTGGCCTTCGGGGGTGACGAGGATGTTCTGGCACTGTGTGATGGACTGCACATTTGTGAATACACTAAAAAGCACTGAGCTTTACAATTTAAATAGGTCAACGATACTAAGACATGAATTATATCTTAAAGCTATCAACAAAAAAACCCTTAATTTCTCATTTTAAATAACCTATACATATAAAAACTAGTGCTGCCTAGGTTTGTCAGGGAAAAAATATACTGCTAATATTTGAAACTTATCAATGCAGATACTATCATTTATGCTAATGGCATCTAAAAGTTTAAGTGGAAAAAAAAAGAAGGCTACTTCTGAAATACTGGAAGAATATTCGCTAACATTTTAATAGTACTAATCTCCCAGAGGTGAAGTATTTTCTTTGTTGTGACTTGTCTATGTTTCAGTTTTTATTCTAAAATAAATATGCATTATAATTTTTTAATTACCCAATTTATATTATAAATTGTAAAGACATTTGTAATATCTGAAATTTAGCTTTACTCAATATTCAGTGAATAAACAAAGAGCAACCATGATCCACCCATCACTGTACAACACATCTCACATCCTGCTGTGTTACTCTGAAGCCCCTGGACAAATCTACATGAGAAATGTGAAGCGCAGAGTCGTGGCTGAGAACACAGCTATGGAGTCAGAGTGCTGGGTTCAAACTTCACTGACTGGCCACGAGACCCCATCCCTCGTCTACAGAAAGGAATCACAGAATGGAAAGAATCCCTCCCCGGGACATGCTGCAGTAAGTAGGAAAGCCCACTGAGGTGTGTACAAAGCCACTTAACGTATGGATTAAGAGCGGAGGACCCAGGGTATCTTTACAGAGACGCTGAAGACAACAGATACCATGTGCGCGGTGCAAAACAAGATGCACACAACACTTACATCTTCTGTTTTCTTTTGGAAAATATTTATTCTAGAAGCTACCAAGACCTGGTGGCCTTGGCCCGAGCACCTGAGTGGGAGAGAACTGGCCGCCCACCCTGAAGAAGCAGGCCGCCCATTCCCAGGCCACCTTCCCTCGTGAGCAGACAGCCCTCTGACTGTTCCAGATCCATGAAGGACTTTTAGACATGCAATGGATTACCACACTGAGGAAAAAGTTAAAAGTCATACTCATTTTCAAGTTCAGAGACAAAAGCTAAGCATTACTTTTCCTGGGGCTTTTAAGACCGTATTTGATTCTAATATGGAAGTTTAACTCAGGATATGATTTTCTCTAATTTCAAATGAAGGCTGTTTGTTTCTTAACTCTGTCGTTTAAAGAAAAGTCCTTTTAAAAGCATCAGGCTGCAAACAGCTTCGTCCACAAGACGCTATTCATAATCACTTCTTGGCTCTGGGTCTCACTGGGGTTTATAGCTGTTTGTGCTGAAGGAGGCATTCCCCAGAAACGGTGCCATCCCCCAGAAACAGTGCTGCCCCCAGAAACGATGCCAGTGTGGCTACTGGCTTCTGTCTGAGCTCATTACGGAAGTTACCAGGCATGTGGTAAGTGATTTTTTGGGAAGCAACATTAACATAGCAATTGTACTGATTTCTTTCTCCCCAACATAATTTGCATTGGAATTTTGCTACTAATTAGAGAAAGGCTCTAGCAGGCAGTGTGACTTGTTTTGCATTCTGAAAAATCCCAGATCATCTTCCGAATGGATTTGCTAAGTGCTTACCTGCCAGGTTTAAGTACTTAGAAATGCCAACTTGTCGAATCCTCACCAAACTTATGGGAGGGGTTCCGTTTTTTCCAGGAATGACGGAAATTGAAGGCTGTTTCTGTCATCAGCTCACACACCTCAGAGTCAACATTTGAACCCTAGCCGCTAGGCAGCAGAGCCTGAACCCTTCCCCAGTGCACAAACTGCCTCTCAAACTGAGATGGTCCCACCCTACTCCAGTGTGGGCAACAGAGCAAGACTCCATCTCAAAAGAAAAAAAAAAGTTAAAAATGTATATTCAATGACTACAATTATGCAGAAAAGAAATATGGGGAAAAACAGAAACATGACGATCTAAAGTACCAGCACCGACTGCGTCAGAGCGCCGGGAAGAGGTGAGGTCGCAGGTGACTTCCTGCAGCATCTGGATCTGCAAGGGCATTTTGAAGCAGAGTTTACTTAATAATGGGGGAAATTATAATTAAAGTATCACTGAATCCTCAGAAAAGACACCAGGCCATTATCCCTATGCCTATTTGCCATAAAAGTTAATGGCTAGAAACTCACATCAGTACTGTTCTCACAGTGTTTGAGTCAGAGCATGTCATTAAATCGTGGCTTTCTGTATCAAAGTCCAAGGTCATGTGGGCCTGTGAGCAAAGGCAGGGAGCCTCACTTCCAACCTGACAGAGGGCTGGGCGGCTCCTCCGCACCTGCCAGGCTCCCGGGTCCTGCCAGGGTCTCCCGAGGAAACTCCCCACCCGGGTGAACGGTTAACAGTGGCAAACGGTGGCAATCTCCATGTACCTGCAGCCTGGAGTTAGTGACCAGCCCTGAGACTGGATCCAGGGGGCCTTGGCCCAAGGATGGCCTGGTCAGTCCAGCTGCACTCAGAGGGTGTGGGCCTATACACTCTCCCCCAGCTTGAAATCTGGGCAGAGGGAGGGGCCGTGCAGACACCCCCAGCCCCAGAAGAGGTGTGACCTGCTGCAGGGAGCAGCACTAGCTGCTGGGGACCCTGGGCTCCCCCAGTACTGCCTCCATCAGATGCTGCACCTCTAATTAGCACAACTACCAAGGTGGAGGCCTCTGGGGCCAGGGACCTTCCGCAAGCCAGTCCCGGTGGTGAAGACCGTGGGTGGATGGGCATTTCATCCGATCCAGGTGGTAGCACCGCTGGGCAGAGCTCCTCCAGATGTCAGGCACCGGCCGGCACTGATGATGCCATCAGCAAATGCCAGGGATACATTTAACAAGAAAACGGTGTTTCCACCTTCTTTGAAACAGTGGGCAAATCAGGTGAAAGGCAGCATCCATCTGCCGTGGATTGCGAATGGGCTCCAAGTCCTCCACATGCCTAGATACGTACCTGCCGAGAGAGCTCCCTGCCTTTCTTCTATTCTTAACTTTCCCCAGCAACTGTGCCTGCCTCCCGAGCATGTCAAGGCACCCTGTTAATGTGTTCCCATCTTACATGCGTGTGGGAAGGAGGGGAGGCGACGGAAAAGAACCCGGGTCTGGTGCCCCGCCCCGTAACAAAGAGAACTATCCAAACAACCTCTCACGTCCGTGAAACGCCAAAAAGAAAGCAAGGAGGCAGGAAGGGGCCTCTGGAGGGCTGGCTGCCCGAAGGGTCCGGCAGAGAGTGAGGTCGCAGGAAGATGCCACTGCCCCTGCTTTGTTGGAGCATCCTCTCATTTGATAGGAATGAAAAGCAGTAAAAGATTTTGTTCTCTACCTCATTTTCTACCTTTTCTTGTTTTTAAGACAGGGTCTCACTCCTATCACCCAGGCTGGAGTTCAGTGGTACGATCTTGGCTCACTGCAGCCTCAACTTCCCCTGCTCAAGTGATCCTCCTACCTCAGCCTCACGAGCAGCATCATCATGCCCAACTAATTATTACTATCATATTATTATTTTTGCAGAGATGGAGTCTAACTATGTTGCCTAGGCAGGTCTCAAACTCCTGGGCTCAAGCGATTCACCCAGCTCAGTCTCTCAAAGTGCTGGCATTACAGGTATGAGCTACCATGCCTAGCCTCATTTTCAATTTAAAAAAGCTGGTCCAGCAGAGCCTGCAATGCCAGCAGTCCACATGTGAGTTAACCTATGGCGAGAATACGCACCATGGCTACAAAGAAGCCAGGAGACTGGCCAACGTCACCCCCAAAAGAGGAGCACTGGGCCATGGCCTCAGGTTCTTGGTATCAGGTCTTGTACCCCCAGGTCTCACGGCTCCAGAGAACTCCAAGAGATGGACTTCCAGGCCTGGCTCCCCACCACAGACCTCCAGCAACAGAGCGGGGGTCCCTTCTGGCGTATGCAGCATCACTGGCTGTTTCTGGGGTGCCCACTGCTCACCCCTGGATTCTCCCATCTCTGTCATCTACAAGGCGCTGGTGACTGATTTGCTTATGAACAGCCTGACCCTCAGGCTGCCTCTTTTCTGATCCCGCTACAACCTCTGAGGGCCCAGAATGTCCAGGTAGTGGGCAGAGCACAGACGGTCAAATAGCTATATCTCCCCAGACCCACATCTGCGGCGTCCAGGGGCCTGGCGCCCACGGCTTCATCACCCTCCCATATCTGCAAGGGACACCAGGCCCGTGGGCACCGTGTGGTCCAGCAGGCCTGGGAGGACACAGGCCAGGTCTCCGGGCCCCGCAGACGACGTGCTGTGGAAACGTCAGTCAGGGTCCACCTTCCCTGCTGGCTGGAACGTGAGCCAGCTGCCCTGGTATGGTCTTTTGGGCCACAGTTTAAAGGTGAGGTGACAATGAAGAGAAATCTTTAATCACAGCCCCTCCCTGATGGAGCATATGGATAAAAAGGCCACTCAGAGGACGGAAGCGGAAAAGGAGACTCTCCGAGCCGTTGTCCTGGGGACCTGCGAGCACCAGCCACGGGCGAGCTGCGCTTTAGGCCCAAACGGGGCCTCTCACTCTGGAAAGGCTCCGGCCTCTAACGACCCTCCCACTCCACTTCCCGCTGCATCCAGCTAAGGTGAATCTTAAGGGAACGTCGGATGCTGATGACACGTCCCCTCGAGTCACACAGCAGCACCTGTGAGGAACCCAAGAGGTTCACCCCAATGCCCCCGTGGCAAGGCAGAGGTAGGGGCACCCAGGCTCACATGGGAGCCTTCTCCTTCTCCCGAGCTCTCACTCCACCCCATCAACCAGTGACCAGCAATTCAGTGGTTCCAAAAGCACCCCGTCCCTGATGAGAGCAGCATCGAGCCCTGACGCACAGGGCCTCCTGCTGGGTGCAGTTACCTGCAGGAGCCGGAGGCAGGGGCTCTCGCTGGTCCATGCTGCAGCTCCAGACGCCCTTCTCAGCTCTGCTAAGGGAAGGAACTCCTGCAAGAAGGAGAGACACTGCTTGTCACAGTTCAGGTAGATAAACATGCACTCAACAGGCGCAGGGCTGTCGACAGAGAACCCCTAAAAAGGAAGAGCTAAACGCCATTACTAGCCGGAATCAGAAGACTTCCCACCTGTCAGTCGTGAATACTTGTAGATCTCCCTTAAAACAGCACTCAAGAGCAAAACAAAAGAGACTTCACAGTGTGGGAGTGACTTCACCTTGAACTACAGCCAGAACTTTATTTTGCAACTTGATTTACTGGTCAGACCCTCCCAACCTGACACTGGCTTCAATTCCTTGCTGAATTTTCTGCCTTGTTCTAAGTGGAGAAGTCAACACATAAACCAAATATGTTTCTTCCAGGCTCAGCTGGGATCAGGCGCAGCGATGACCCCCTCCCGACTCCTTTTGGTAAAAATGCGGCTAACCTCTCTGGGCGAGGCTGAGTCATGGCCTGCCTGCCGCTGGGATTCTCGTCTTCACTTCATGTTCCCCTCCCTGCTTTGAGGACATGAGCTTGAGTGTAAGCTGGATGCCAGCTGAGTCCCAGGAAGGCCAGTTCCTGGTGACTCCTGTTAAGACTACGAAACCTGGGCCTGGCTCCTGCCAGAGAACAATCCCAGGGAAATACGCTGTGCTTGAGGAACTCTCCGCTGCCTCGGCTAGAGCACCAGGCACCAGGCGCTCGCCTCATCAGCAAAAGCATATGGGGCCACAGGGGCCATGGCCCATGAGTGCCACCCACAGGCCAGCTCCTCTGAGGCCAGACGGGCCCCTGCCCAGGGTGATCACTGGCCTCACGTGCTCTTCAATGAGAGGAACACGGCGGGATGGCAGGGTGCCAAGAGCTCCGGGCTCTGCCGGCAACACACCCAGGATGCCACCAGGCCAGCAAATTATCTTCTACTAATGCACAGAGCTGGCTGCCGGCTCTGGCACTCTCAGAAGCAAACGGACACTGCTTTCCAATGAGGCTGGCGGTGGGACCCTGCCCCCAACCTCCGATGTGGCACCTCCCGCATCCCAAGCCCTGAACCTGCTCTCCCTCCATCTCCAGGTCTTGCTCAGGTGCCTGCCGTGTGCCACCACCCCGGCCCCATCCTCAGCACCTAGCCTCATGGCTCCGCGCCTCACAGCCTCAGTTTCCAAGTCTCATGTTACTTCATGAGTTCCCAAGTCTCATGAAGTTATTTCACCAACAACGTGCGCAAATAGCTCAACGTGCACTGGGCTCCGCACGAGCAGTGGCTGTGACTGTCTCCTCTGTTAACACAACTGCTGAGCAAAGAGCAGAACTTCTGTCTGAGGAATGGGAGCCCTTTCACATCACCAGGCCCCGGGACACGTGCAGGTGAGCCGCAGCCACACCCTGCCCCCTGCTCCCTGCTCCCGCGGAGTGCGTGCTCATTCAGCACGGCCTGCTGTAGCCCCGGGGGACGTGCAGGTGAGCCCCAACCACACCCTGCTCCCTAGTCCTGGAAAGCTGTGTGTTCACTCATCATGGCCTGCTGTAGCCACGGGAGACGTGCGGGTGAGCCACAGCCACACCCTGCTCCTTAGTGCCGGGGAGCTACGTGTCAACTCAACACGGCCTGCTATGGCCTGGGGAGACGTCCAGGTGAGCCGCAACCACACCTTGCTCCCTGGTCCTGGGGAGCCACGTGTCCACTCATCACAGCCTCCAGTGGCTGGGAATGAACCTGGTGATGCTGTGCCGGACACCGCAACACATCCTATAGCTTAACAATGCACAGCAATCACTAATCAGTGCTATTTCCATAAACCAATGGGAATTTCCAACAAACAGCTTGCTGTCAGCCTCCCTGACCTGCTTCTCGCTTTCAAAAATCTACTTGGAGGCACTGCTCATCGGTGTCCATTCAAGGCGGCCTGATCCAGGCTCCCGGGCTGCAGCCTCAAGCGCGGCCCAAATAGCCCTCTGCATAGGTTATTTTACCCTAGCTTTTCCCTTTTAGGTCCACCTCACCAGTACAACTCCAAGATGTGGGTACTCTCATTATTTTCAAATGGAGAAACCACTGGTTGGGAGACTTGAGACACTCCCTCAAGGCTACAGGTGAGGGTTGGGGCCTCATGTGAGCACTGAGAGTCCAGCCTGGGCCCCGACAGCCCATTCCTGCCCTTCCACCCGCCGGCCAGGAGCCGGGGCAAGCGAGGTCCTTGCTCCACCTGGAATATGTGGGAGTCACAGAATCCACCCTGGGTGCCCTCGCAGGTGAGCTCTCTGTGCAGCGAGACAGGGTCCGAGTGCCGGCCAGTACACCCCTAAGGTGAGAGGTGCCCACCGTGCCCAGCCTCTCTATCCCGGCAGCGATTCCGTGGGATGACAAAGGAAATGAAGCTTGGAGGGAAAGCTGTCATGTCCAGGGTAGGTGAGACAGTTGTGCTGGGACTACAACAGTGAAAGGGGGAGTGACACTCATGGAAGGAATCCTCAGAGACAAGGGCAACAAACACGCCGGACAGTCCCCACGCCAGAGTCCCCACGTCAGACAGCCAGAGAGCTTCCACGCCAGACAGTCCCCACGCCTGAGAGTCCCCACGTCAGACAGCCAGAGAGCTTCCACACCAAACAGTCCCCACGCCTGAGAGTCCCCACGTCAGACAGCCAGAGAGCTTCCACGCCAGACAGTCCCCACGCCAGAGAGCCCCACGTCGGACAGCCAGAGAGCTTCCACACCAAACAGTCCCCACGACTGAGAGTCCCCACGTCAGACAGCCAGAGAGCTTCCACGCCAGACAGTCCCCAAGCCAGAGAGCCCCACGTCGGACAGCCAGAGAGCTTCCACACCAAACAGTCCCCACGACTGAGAGTCCCCACGTCAGATAGCCAGACAGTTTCCACGCCAGACAGTCCCCACACCAGAGAGTCCCCATGTCAGACAGGCAGACAGCTTCCACGCCAGACAGTCCCCATGCCAGAGAGCCCCACGTCGGACAGCCAGAGAGCTTCCACGCCAAACAGTCCCTGCGCCAGAAAGCCCCACTTCCACGCCAAACAGTCCCCGCGCCAGAGAGCCCCACGTCAGAGAGCCAGACAGCTTCCACGCCAGACAGTCCCCGAGCCAGAGAGCCCCCACGTCGGGCAGCCAGACAGCTTCCACGCCAAACAGTCCCCACGCTGGATAGCCCCTACGTGAGACAGTCCCCACAGCAGAGAGCCCCCATGCTGGACAGTCCCCATGCCGGACAGTCCCCATGCCGGACAGTCCCCATGCCGGACGGTCCCTATGTTGGATAGCTTCCATGCCAGACAGTCCCCATACTGGACCACTCCCACTCCGGACAGTCCCCCGTGCCAGACAGTCTCCCACCAGACAGCTTCCACACTGGACAGCATCCACGCCAGACAGCATCCACACCAGATGGCCCCCACACTGGAAAGCCCCCACATCAGATGGCATCAATGCTTCTGACAATCGGATCCCATGGGCAGAGAGGACCACACTGGCTCTGAGACCCTCACAAAACCTAAAATGACTGTTCAGCCTCAGGCAACACCAACCGTGCTGAAGAGTGCACGGGCGCTCCAAAGGAATGAACAAGTAGGGTCTGAACGAGACCGCCGTCGGCATGCACACAGCAGCAGGACTAGATGCCATGACTGCCGCCCCGAGCAGAGGGAGGGAGGCTTCTCCCCAGGCCAGGCAGACACCGGGTGGCTCTGGGAAGCAGGGGACGCCATGCTCGTCAGCCTGGCCTGGATGACTTGGCCTCAGAGACGATGGAAGAAGAGTACCTTCCACGGCTACAGCATCTCCCAGCAAAGGAGAGTAACAAAGCTCCAACACAGCTGTGAATTCTCAAGAGTTTAGGTTAATGTCATCTTTCCCTGGCACGCTGGTGCTAGGGCCAATGCCATCTCATGCATCAGGATCGCTGGAGTCAGAGTCCAGGACCAACAGAAAAAGGGAAGGCAGCAGGCACCCCCTGGCACCCCTCACATCCCTGGTTTCCCCGGCACCCCTGGCATCTTCCCCAGCACACCGCCACATCCCTGGCGGGTCCCAGCCCAATGTCTAAGCCTTCCACAGTGCACGAGGGCCTCAGGGAACAAGACAGATGAAGATGCGTCCGCCATACGAAGAAGAGAAAATGAATCAATGCCCTAAACTGTGCAGAGGAGACGATGAAGAAACACCTTGGCACTCTGCAGTTCTCAGGGGAGACGGAGGAGGAAGCTGTCCTTGGAGCACCTGTGAGAGTGAGATGCACGTTCCCACGTCCCTGAGTCCTCACCACCTTTACTCACTGCAAGGCGTGTGGTATTCCTCAACTGCTTAAGAAACTAAGCTCACGGATTCACCTGCCCAACATTAGCAATGCAACTGGCCGAGGAGCTGGGCATCCTCGGGCTTCAGAGAAAACCAGCACCCTCCACTTGTGACCCAGGCTCTGTGGGCAAAGGTGGTAAGCGAGTGGCAGGAGAAGCACACGCTTCTTGCCTGCAGAGTCTGTTCAGGAATAAACACGCTAGCACGCGTCACCCGACAGCCACATGGCTTTTTGTGTCTTCAGAGAATTGTTTCCTTAAGCCCTGCTGATTATTCTCAATTTCTTTAACCAGGCTGTGTAAATCTCATTCATGCTACTTGTTTCTCTACTAAAATGCATAAAAATAGAGTCAAGTTGATTTCTCATTTTTCCACTGATAATCTTAGGACCAATGAAAAGATGAACAAGCCTGGGTGTTACTCCTTTTTATGCCTGGTCGTTTTTAAGGGTGACAGCTCACCCTTCACCCAGCACCTACCACGGCATCCACCTGCATCAGCTCCACAAGTCCACAGGGCAGTCCTGGGCAGAAAGCGCGCCCCCACCCGACCTGAGGCTCAGCACAGCCCACAGCAGCCCCTGGCTCTGCAGCTGGGAAGTGACCGTCAGATTCCGGCCCAGGCCTTGCCCTACCACCTACAGGCAGACTGCAAACTCCAAAACTTTTCCTTCCAAAGGAGTGTCCCTTTAAAACTGC